TGCGTGTGCCACCATGCCCGGCTAATTTCTGTATTTTCTTTTTCTTTTTTTTCTTTTTTTTTTTTTTTGAGACGGAGTTTCGCTCGTTACCCAGGCTGGAGTGCAATGGCGCGATCTCGGCTCACCACAACCTCCGCCTCCTGGGTTCAGGCAATTCTCCTGCCTCAGCCTCCTGAGTAGCTGGGATTACAGGCACAGGCCACCATGCCCAGCGAATTTTTTGTATTTTTAGTAGAGATGGGGTTTCACCATGTTGACCAGGATGGTCTCGATCTCTTGACCTCGTGATCCACCCGCCTTGGCCTCCCAAAGTGTTGGGATTACAAGCTTGAGCCACCGTGCCCGGCCTAATTTCTGTATTTTTAACAGAGATAGGGTTTCACTGTGTTGGTCAGGCTGGTCTCAAACTCCTGACCTCAGGTGAAATGCCTGCCTCAGCCTCCCAAAGTGCTGGGATTACAGGCATGAGCCACCATGCCCAGTCTATCATGGCTTCCTTATTTATTTATTTATATATATATATATATATATATTTTTTTTTTTTTTTTTTTTTTTTTTTTGAGACGGAGTTTCGCTCTTGTTACCCAGGCTGGAGTGCAATGGCGTGATCTCGGCTCACCGCAACCTCCGCCTCCTGGGCTCAGGCAATTCTCCTGCCTCAGCCTCCTAAGTAGCTGGGATTACAGGCACGCACCACCATGCCCAGCTAACTTTTTGTATTTTTAGTAGAGACGGGGTTTCACCTTGTTGACCAGGATGATCTCGATCTCTCGACCTTGTGATCCACCTGCCTCGGCCTCCCAAAGTGCTGGGATTACAGGCTTGAGCCACCGCGCCCGGCCTTATTTATATATATTTTGAGATGGAATCTTGCTCTATAGCCCAGGCTTGAGTGCAACAGTGTGATTTTGGCTCGCTGCAACCTCCACCTCCCAGTTTCAAAGGATTCTCCTGCCTCAGCTTCCCAATTCTACCTCAGCTTCCCAAGTAGCTGGGATTACAGGCACAAGCCACCATGCCCAGCTAATTTTTTTATTTTTTTATTTTTTAGTAGAGACGGGGTTTCGACATGTTGACCAGTTTGGTCTTGAACTCCTGACCTCGTGATCCACCTGCCTTGGCTTCCCAAAGTGGTGTCATTACAGGTGTGAGCCACCGTGCCTGGCCTATTGTGGCATATTTTGAAAGAACATGACTTAGTATGTTTTATTGAAGTGGCTAGCAACCTAAGTAACTGCTGTTTTCAGATGGGGGTCTTAATTTGAATAATGTTGTTTTATATCTAGATATTTATCTTTTTTTTTTTTTTTTTGAGACGGAGTTTCACTCTTGTTACCCAGGCTGGAGTGCAATGGCGCGATCTCGGCTCACCGCAACCTCCGCCTCCTGGGTTCAGGCAATTCTCCTGCCTCAGCCTCCTGAGTAGCTGGGATTATAGGCACACGCCACCATGCCCAGCTAATTTTTTGTATTTTTAGTAGAGACAGGGTTTCACCATGTTGACCAGGTTGGTCTTGATCTCTCGACCTTGTGATCCACCCGCCTCGGCCTCCCAAAGTGCTGGGATTACAGGCTTGAGCCACCGCGCCTGGCTCTTTTTTTTTTTTGAGATGGAATCTTCCTCTGTCACCCAGGCTGGGGTGCAGTAGCGTGATCTCCACCTCCCAAGTAGTTCCCCTGCCTCAGCACCCCCCAACCCCTGGGCCAAGTCACTGGGATTACAGGTGCCCACCACCACTAATTTTTGTATTTTTAATAGAGGTGGGATTTTGCCATGTTGGCCAGGCTGGTCTTGAATTCCTGACCTCAGGTGACCCACCCACCTCAGCCTTCCAAAGTGCTGGGTTTATTACAGGTGTGAGCCACTGTGCCCGGCCAGTATTTAGCATTCTTATTAATAACAACTTCAGAGCTGCTCCTAGAGTACAAGAAAAAGAAGTTTACAGCACTTTGAAATAGATAAAATTCAGTTGAGTTAGTAGGTAGTAACCTAACTCATTGTTAGTATCTGTTGCTGCTCCTTGTAGACCAATATGAAATTGTTTTCAAACCAAAAGTGTAACTTTTGGCTTTTCACTTTACGTTTCAGACTGAAATGTGGGGATCTAGATGTGCTAATGCTTGTCAGTAACAACTAACAAGTTTTTCTATATGTAACTTCTAGGTGAAAGACCCCTGACAAAAGACAATCATCTGCTGGGTACATTTGATCTGACTGGAATTCCTCCTGCTCCTCGTGGGGTCCCACAGATTGAAGTCACCTTTGAGATAGATGTGAATGGTATTCTTCGAGTGACAGCTGAAGACAAGGGTACAGGGAACAAAAATAAGATCACAATTACCAATGACCAGAATCGCCTGACACCTGAAGAAATCGAAAGGATGGTTAATGATGCTGAGAAGTTTGCTGAAGAAGATAAAAAGCTCAAGGAGCGCATCGATACTCGAAATGAGTTGGAAAGTTATGCCTATTCTCTAAAGAATCAGATTGGAGATAAAGAAAAGCTGGGAGGTAAACTTTCCTCTGAAGATAAGGAGACCATGGAAAAAGCTGTAGAAGAAAAGATCGAATGGCTGGAAAGCCACCAAGATGCTGACATTGAAGACTTCAAAGCTAAGAAGAAAGAACTGGAAGAAATTGTTCAGCCAATTATCAGCAAACTCTATGGCAGTGCAGGCCCTCCACCAACCGGTGAAGAGTATACAGCAGAAAAGGATGAGTTGTAGACACTGATCTGCTAGTGCTGTAATATTGTAAATACTGGACTCAGGAACTTTCGCTAGGAAAACATTGAGAGAACTTAAGTCTCGAATGTAATTGGAATCTTCACCTCAGAGTGGAGTTGAAAATGCTATAGCCCAAGTGGCTGTTTACTGCTTTTCATTAGCAGTTGCTCACGTGTCTGGGTCGGGGGGGAAAGAATTGGCCATCTTAAAAAGTGGGTAAAAAAACCTGGGTTAGGGTGTGTGTTCACCTTCAAAATGTTCTATTTAACAATTGGGTCATGTTCATCTGGTGTAGGAAGTTTTTTCTACCGTTAAGTGACACCAATAAATGTTTGTTATTTACGCTGGTCTAATGTTTGTGAAAAGCTTCTAAGTAGATCAATTATTTAGGAACTATAAGCCCAGATTCTTGTGTGTGGGGTGAGGGGAGGGAGTGTTTGGTATGTTGGGATACGGAAACACTTCTATTTAATGCTTCTGGGGAATTTGCTTTTTCCCCCCCACCTCCTGGGCTCAAGTGATCCTTCCATCTCAGTCTCCCAGTTAATCACCACCATGCTCAGCTTTTGCCTTTATCTAAGGGGACAGAAGTTAATCCATACCTCTACCTAGGTGAGGGGCATTTCAGTGCCCAAGACTTGGGTTTTCTTGAACATACTTGGTTTCCTATTTCCCTTTATCTTATCTAGAACTGCCGTTCTGGTGTTTTTATTTTTTATTTTTTATTTTTTTTAGACAGAGTTTCGCTCTTGTTACCCAGGCTGGAGTGCAATGGCGTGATCTCGGCTCACCGCAACCTCCGCCTCCTGGGTTCAGGCAATTCTCCTGCCTCAGCCTCCTGAGTAGCTGGGATTATAGGCACGCGCCACCATGCCCAGCTAATTTTTTGTATTTTTAGTAGAGACGGGGTTTCACCATGTTGACCAGGTTGGTCTCGATCTCTCGACCTTGTGATCCACCCGCCTCGGCCTCCCAAAGTGTTGGGATTACAGGCTTGAGCCACCGCGCCCGGCCGTTCTGGTGTTTTTAAATTATGCTTCATAGCTGCTTGGATTCTCTGAGAATTGACAGGTGGTGAGTGAGCACTGGTATTAACTTTTTTTTTTTTTTGAGACGGAGTCTTGCTTTGACACCAGGTTGGAGTGCAATGACATGATCTTGGCTCACTGCAACCTCCACCTCCCGGGTTCAAGTGATTCCCCTGCCTCAGCCTCCTGAGTAGGTGGGACTACAGGTGCCTGCCACTATGCCTGGCTAATTTTTTGTATTTTAGTAGAGACAGGGTTTCACAATGTTGTCCAGGATGGTCTTGATCTGATTTCGTGATCTGCCCTCCTTGGCCTCCCAAAGTGCTGGTATTACAGGCGTGAGCCACTGTGCCAAGCCACTGGTATTAACTTTACATACTCGGATTTAATTTGTAACTTTAGGATGTAAAAGTATATTGTGAACCCTAGCTGTGTCAGAATCTCCATGCCTGAAATTTCTCATTAGTGGTACTGGGTTGGAATCTGGGGATTTAGTGTAACACTGAAACTACACTAAATCCCCTCACTATGGGTGGATTAAAGGCAGTGGTTTGTATCAAAACTGGTTTAGGATTACTTAGATTGCCTTCTTGAAGAAAAGGATGGTCCAGGTAAATAGTATGATCAGTAAAGGGCAGGCTGGTGCTAACATGAAATCCAGCATTGTGGCCAGGTCTGGTGGCTCACACCTGTAATCCCAGCAGCGCAATGGTGCAATCTTGGCTCACTGCAACCTCCACCTCCCAGGTTCAAGCAACTCTCCTGCCTCATCCTCCTGAGTAGTTGGGACTACAGGTGTGTGCCACCATGCCTGGCTAACTTTTTGTATTTTTAGTAGAGACAGGTTTCACTGGGTTATCCAGGATGGTCTCAATCTCCTGACCTCATGATCCCAGCCTCCTAAAGTGCTGGGATTACAGGTGTGAGCCACCATGCCCAGCCAATTCTGCAACTTTTGTTTAACTTTCTGCAACCTATTGCAACCCTACTGCAACCTTCTTGTGATTAGCATTCAGTACACTAATCCCACCTCCCAGGTTTGTATTGCTGGTAAAGACTCTTATATTAATATAGTGGAGGTTTTTGCATTGAGCAAAACTTAACTACTGCAATTTGCAAACCAGTCACTGAAAGTCATTCCCAAGAGCTCTGAGAGGCAATATAGCAAGGTGTAGTGCACATGAATTATTTGTATTAATTTCTTCACCTACCAAAGTAGGAGAAAAACATATAGTGCAGAAGATATTTTGGAGACATGAAACAGCTAAGGTTTTACGTAAGTATTCTGAAAGTAACTGATAGGTAATAACGTGGGTTTTATTAGTCAATCGCAGTCACAACACAATCATCATAGATTTCCCCTTCTGTATTCATCCCACCAAACACAAAACAGAGCAGTGTATCAGCCTGGCTTTCCTCATGTGAGTCAGCACTGTGGGTCATTACTGTGTCAGCTGAATCCCCTTTTTCAGCTTCATGGTTCAGACTGAGAGAACTGGAATCTTCTTTTTCAGACGCACATGTCACTGGCCATGGAATGATACACATGGAGTGGTCCAATCGTCCAGGGGGTAGAAAAGTATCAAACTTAAGCAAGGTCCAATGCTGCTTTTCTATGTTGAGGAGGGAAAAGGCTTCGTGTTAAGAAATTTCCAGATAGTGAAAGCCAAAATCTGAATACAATTTTAAAAGTAAAGAAATTTTGGCCGGGCGCGGTGGCTCAAGCCTGTAATCCCAGCACTTTGGGAGGCCGAGGCGGGTGGATCACGAGGTCGAGAGATCGAGACCATCCTGGTCAACATGGTGAAACCCCGTCTCTACTAAAAACACAAAAAAGTAGCTGGGCATGGTGGCGCTTGCCTGTAATCCGAGCTACTCAGGAGGCTGAGGCAGGAGAATTGCCTGAACCCAGGAGGCGGAGGTTGCAGTGAGCCAAGATCGCGCCATTGCACTCCAGCCTGGGTAACAAGAGCGTAACTCCGTCTCAAAAAAAAGAAAAAAATTTCCAGAAGGCCGGGCGCGGTGGCTCAAGCCTATAATCCCAGCACTTTGGGAGGCCGAGGCGGGTGGATCACGAGGTCAAGAGATCGAGACCATCCTGGTCAACATGGTGAAACCCCATCTCTACTAAAAAAATACAAAAATTAGCCGGGCGCGGTGGCTCAAGCCTGTAATCCCAGCACTTTGGGAGGCTGAGGTGGTTGGATCACGAGGTCAAGAAATCGAGACCATCCTGGTCAACATGGTGAAACCCCGTCTCTACTAAAAATACAAAACATTAGCTGGGCATGGTGGCGCGTGCCTATAATCCCAGCTACTCAGGAGGCTGAGGCAGGAGAATTGCCTGAACCGAGGAGGTGGAGGTTGCGGTGAGCCGAGATCGCGCCATTGCACTCCAGCCTGGGTAACAAGAGCAAAACTCCATCTCAAAAAAAAAACCAACAACAACAACAACAACAAAAACACGAAAACACAAAAATTAGCTGGGCATGGTGGCGCACGCCTGTAGTCCCAGCTACTAGGGAGGCTGAGGCAGGAGAATTGCTTGAACCCAGGAGGCGGAGGTTGCGGTGAGCCGAGATCGCGCCATTGCACTCCAGCCTGGGTAACAAGAGTGAAACTCCGTCTCAAAAAAAAAAAAAAAAAAAAGCCGGGCGCAGTGGCTCAAGCCTGTAATCCCAGCACTTTGGGAGGCCGAGGCGGGTGGATCACAAGGTCAAGAGATCGAGACCATCCTGGTCAACATGGTGAAACCCCGTCTCTACTAAAAATACAAAAAAGTAGCTGGGCATGGTGGCACGTGCCTGTAATCCGAGCTACTCAGGAGGCTGAGGCAGGAGAATTGCCTGAACCCAGGAGGCGGAGGTTGCGGTGAGCCGGTGAGCCGAGATCGCGCCATTGCACTCCAGCCTGGGTAACGAGAGTGAAACTCCGTCTCAAAAAAAAAGAAATTTCCAGAAATGCTCAGTGATTTTTTTTTTCTTTCTATTTTTTTTTTTTTTTTTTTTGAGAGAAGTTTCGCTCTTGTTGCCCAGGCTGGAGTCTCGGCTCACCGCCACCTCCGCCTCCCGGGTTCAAGTGATTCTCCTGCCTCAGCCTCCCAAGTAGCTGGATTACAGGCATGCGCCACCATGCTCAGCTAGTTTTGTATTTTTTTTTTTTTTTTTTTTTTTTGGTAGAGATGGGGTTTCACCATATTGGCCAGGCTGGTCTTGAACTCCTGATCTCATGATCCACCCACCTCGGCCTCCCAAAGTGCTAGTATTACAGACATGAGCCACTGTGCCCGGCCTAATGCTCAGTGATTTACTGTATCAGCTGAGCCCTAACAGAAAATAAAAGGAAAAAAACCTCATGGCAGCATTGCTGCTTTAATGACCTCATCCCGACAAGAGTTTTCATTTTTTGGGTTTAGACACAGAGGAACCAAATTGGAAAACCAAAGCACTGCATCACTTTTCAAAGGATGTTTAGGTTTGTTTAAAGATCCCCAGGGACACCTGCTCACCTGTGTGATACTGGTACATTGTGTCCAGTGCTCCTGCAGGAGTCATTCCACCAAAGATGTACAAGTGTTTTCCCACAGCCACAGCTGAGTGGGCAGCACAGCCTGCTGGAGCAGCCCCAGTGGGACTTAGCTTCTGCCATTTCATGTCACCTGCCAAGAAAAAGAAAGGGCTTTGGCACAACGTGGGCTAAGATGTGCTTTCAAACTTACCTATCGACTGCGGTTTGCAAACCAGTCACTGAAAGTCATTTACCAAGAGCACTGAGAGGTTTAGTGCACGTAAGAATTATTTGGGGAATTCTGACATCATGATTGGGTAGTCCAGGGAGGAAGGGAGGGAGGAGCTCAGTGATTCCCAGAATCCCAGGCGATTCTGATGTAGGCGGTCTTTGGATCACACAGAAATGTGATACAATCTTTTTTTTTTTTTTTTTTTTTTTTTTTAAGAGAAAGACAATTTTTATTCTTCCAAAAAAAAAAAAATGGAACGCTTCACGAATTTGCGTGTCATCCTTGCGCAGGGGCCATGCTAATCTTCTCTGGATACAATCTTTATAATAACAGTCACCTTCAACCATTCACTCGAATGCCTCGAATTAGGTCAGTTTCTCTTTCTCTCTCGCTCTCTCTCTCGCTCCTCTCCCCGTCTCTCTCGCTGTGTGTGTGTATGTGTGTATGTTTTGTGAGTGCAGGCTAAACAAATTTTGCTCGCTTAATTCTCATAAGAGCCCTACAAAATTGCTATTACTTCTGCCTATCCCCTTGCTTCTTACAAATGAGCAAACAAGAATTTGTTTGTAATTGGTAGAGCTAGGCTGCACTCAGGTCCGGCTCCAAAGCCTGTATTTTCTACACTGTCACGTGCTGCCTCAGAACCTCCTTCCAACCTATTTTTGTAGGAAAACTTCCATCTTTTCAAACAAGCAGTTTTTTTCTTTTGAGATAAGAGTCTCACTTTGTTACCCAGGCTGCAGTGCAGTGATGAGATCTCTGTTCACTGCAACCTCCACCTCCAGGATTCAAGTGATTCTCCTGCCTCAGCTTCCCAAGTAGCTTGGATTACAGGTTTGTGCCACCACGCCCGGCTAATTTTTGTATTTTTAATAGAGACGGGGTTTCCCCACGTTGGCCAGGCTGAACTCCTGACCTCAGGTGATCCACCCGCCTCGGCCTCCCAAAGTGCTGGGATTACAGGCATGAGCCACCGTGCCCAGCTGAATTTTTTCGGGGCGGGGAACAGAGGCTTACAGGCATGAGCCACTGCACCCAGCCCAAACAAGCATTTAAACAAGGCAAGCTATCACTGGATTTTACATTTAGGGAACTACTTGCATAGGCAGGAATAATAGTCAACAAGTAGTTCCTAACAACAGAAAAAGACTTTCTTTTTAAAAATAAGCATGAAGCCGGGCGTGGTGGCTCAAGCCTGTAATCCCAGCACTTTGGGAGGCTGAGGCGGGTGGATCACCAGGTCAAGAGATCGAGACCATCCTGGTCAACACGGTGAAACCCCGTCTCTACTAAAAATACAAAAAATTAGCTGGGCACAGTGGCACGTGCCTGTAATCCCAGCTACTCAGGAGGCTGAGGCAGGAGAATTACCTGAACCCAGGAGGTGGAGGCTGCGGTGAGCCGAGATCGTGCCATCGCACTCCAGCCTGGGTAACAAGAGCGAAACTCCATCTCAAAAAAAAAAAAAAAAAGCATGAAGGCGGGGTGCGGTGGCTCACACCTGTAATCCTAGCACATTGGGAGGTCGAGGTGGGTGGATCACCTGCGGTCAGGAGTTCATGACCAGCCTGGCCATAATGGTGAAACCCCATCTTTTAAAAATAAAATAAATACATACATAAATAAAATAAAAATAAGCATGAGGCCGGGCGCGGTGGCTCAAGCCTGTAATCCCAGCACTTTGGGAGGCCGAGGCGGGTGGATCACAAGGTCGAGAGATTGAGACCATCCTGGTCAACATGGTGAAACCCCGTCTCTACCAAAAATACAAAAAATTAGCTGGGCATGGCGGTGCGTGTCTGTAATCCCAGCTACTCAGGAGGCTGAGGCAGGAGAATTGCCTGAATCCAGGAGGTGGAGGTTGTGGTGAGCCGAGATTGTGCCATTGCACTCCAGCCTGGGTAACAAGAGTGAAACTCCGCTTCAAAAAAAAAAAAGCATGAAAACCCCATCTGACTGCCTACAAGGAATGGTTTTGTGTAGACAGTTTCCAGTTTCCATCTGTCAATGCAAGGCACAGGCCCTGCATCTCAGGGTAGGAAGGGAGAATCAAGGGGTATGGCTAAAATTCTAGCCAATGCAGGAATCACAAAACCAGTGTCCCCTGGCCTAAGATGTCATGGAGCTTGGCAAGGTAGCGAGATACACTTACACAGGACTTCCCGTGTTCCCTTCTTCCCATTGTTCCAGTTCTTGTAGTCTGGAGCAATGCAAAACATGTTTGTTCATTCATCCATCCACTCAATAATAGATACGGGCCGAGCACGGTGGCTCATGCCTGGAATCCCAGCACTTTGGGAGGCCAAAGTGGGCAGATCCCTTGAGTCCAGGAGTTGGGAGACCAGCCTGGGCAACATGGTAAAATCCTGTCTCTACAGAAAACATAAAAATTATCTGGGCATGGTGGCACATGTCTGTTGTCCCAGCTACTCAGGAGGCTGAGGCAGAAGAATCACTTGACCTGAGAGGAAGAGGTTGCTGTGAGCTAAGATCACATCACTGCATTCCAGCCTGGGCGACCAAGTGAGACACCATCTCAAAAAAAAGTACTTGTCACCCACTATCTGCCAGACACTGTGCTAAATGCTAGAAATGTACTGGAGAAAAAAAAAGAGACAAGTTCCCTGCCATAATGGACCTCACAGCTTGACAAAATGGCCCAGAATGAGTCTAGGGTCTCCATGGTGTAACAGCCCTTCAGATACTTAAAGATATTTCTCGTGTTCTCTTTAACCTTTCTCTTCCCACTGTTTTCAACCATTTAGCATGACAAGCATGAAATTCTGGTCATTTACCTCCACGTTATCCAGGCCCTTCATGGGTTAATGGCTAACAGGTGAAAGAAATCCAATAGGCCAACACAAAGCATAGTGGGTTGTAATGAAAGGACAGTGCTGTTGGAAGGATGCGAGACAGTAAATGGCTGGGTCCATAATAAGCACTCAGGAGATTAGTGCTACGGTTTATAATTATAATTATAATTATTATTATTATTATTTTTTGAGACAGAGTTTCACTCTCGTTACCCAGGCTGGAGTGTAATGGCGCGATCTCGGCTCACCACAACCTCCGCCTCCTGGGTTCAGGCAATTCTCCTGCCTCAGCCTCCTGAGTAGCTGGGATTACAGGCATGCACCACCATGCCCAGCTAATTTTTTTGGATTTTTAGTAGAGACGGGGTTTCACCGTGTTGACCAGGATGGTCTCGATCTCTTGACCTCGTGATCCACCCACCTCGGCCTCCCAAAGTGCTGGGATTACAGGCTTGAGCCACCGCGCCCGGCCATAGTTTTTTATTATTAATATTCTGTCCAGAGGTGACAGAATCTGATGAAGATTCTGCCAGCTGGTCAAGTTACTTACCTATAAGAACAAGGCTATATTTTCTTTTTCTTTTCTTTTCTTGCTTTTTTTTTTTTTTTTTTTTTTTTTTGAGACAGAGTCTCACTCTGTCGCCCCAGGATGGAGTGGAGTGCAGGAGTGTGATCTCGACTCATAGCAACCTCTGCCTCCAGGGTTCAAGTGATTCTCCTGCCTCAGCCTCCCAAGTAGCTAGGACTACAGGTACCCACCAAGCCTGGCTAATTTTTATATTTTTAGTAGAGATGGGATCTCACCATGTTGGGCAGGCTGGTCTCAAACTCCTGACCTCAGATGATCTGCCTACCTCGGCCTCCCGAAGTTCTGGGATTACAGGTGTGAGGCACCATGCCCAGTTGTTTTTTTTTTTTTTTTTTTTTTTGAGATGGAGTCTGGAGTGCAGTGGCATGGTCTTGGCTCACCACAACCTCCACCTCCTGGATTCAAGTAAGTCTCCTGCCTCAGGCGCCCGAGTAGCTCGGATTACAGGTGCCTGTGCTATGATACCAGGCTAATTTTTTTATTTTTAGTAGACATGGGTTTTTACCATGTTGGCCAGGCTGGTCTCAAACTCCTGACCTCAGGTGATCTACCTGCCTTGGCCTCCCAAAGTGCAGGCATGAGCCACTGTGCCTGACCAAGCAAGGCTATATTATTTCGAAGTACATTTTTAAAAATCACTTGAGCACAGAAGTTTGAGACCAGCCTGGGCAACATGGCGAGACCTCATCTCTACCAAAATAAAATTTTCTATTAGCCGATCATGGTGGCATGAACCTGTAGCTCCAGCTACGGGAGAGGATGAGGTAGGAGGATCACTTGAGCCCAGGAGGCCGAGGCTACTGAGATCATGCCACTGCACTCCAGCCTGAGTGACAGAGAGAGATCCTGTCTAAAAAAAATTAAAATAACAATTTAAAAAGACAAGCCCCCATGCCCTGCTTACTTATATCAATGCAGTGGAGATCATCATAGAATTTGTCCCCTGCCAAGCCTCCATGGATAAAGAGCTTTGTCCCTGCTGCCACCATCACATGACCATGCCGGGGGGATGGAGGATTTCCAAGTGTCTCTGGCTGTGACCAGGTCAGAGTGCCTAGAAAAGTATGTTCAATAACATCAAAAGGCAAAGTTATTAAACAAGAACACAAGAAATAGACTCTGTATCACCTCCCAGCAAGTAGAGATGTCCCATGCAGGAAACAACCTTGGGGTCATTTACTCCAACTCCCCAACCCAATCCAGGCATCCTTCCTTTTACATCCTATAGTCTGGGTGTGGTGGCTCACACTTGCAATCCCAGCACTTTGGGAGGCAGAGGCAAGTGGATTAACTGAGGTCAGGAGTTCAAGACCAGCCTGGCCAACATGGCAAAACTCCATCTCTACTAAAAATACACAGAGAAAAATTAGCTGGGCATGGTGGCATAGTAACTCCAGCTACTTGGGAGGCTGAGGCAGGAGAATCACTTGAACCTGGGAGGTGGAGCTTGCACTGAGCCAAGATCATGACACTGCACTCTCTAGCCTTGGCAACAGAGTGAGACTCTGTCTGGAAAAAAAAAAAAAAAAATCAGCCTGGCATGATAGCATGCATCTAAAGCATGGAAAAGAATGGCTAAAGGGGAATCTTTTAGTTTTGTTTGTTTTTTATCTTTCTTGTTCATTCTTTTACTTTTTTACTTTATAAACTGTAAGGTTTAAACTTTTTAATTTGATCATTATACCTTTTTGTTTTATTTATTTATTGATTTTTGAGACAGAGTCTTGCTCTGTTGCCCAGGCTGGAGTGCAATGGTGCCATCCGGTTCACTGCAACCTCTGCCTCCCGGGTTCAAGCGATTCTCCTGCTTCAACCTCCCGAGTAGCTGGGATAACAGGCACCCACCACCGCACCCGCCTAATTTTTGTATTTTTGGTAGAGACGTGGTTTCGCCATTTTGGCCAGTCTGGTTTTGAACTCCTGACCTCAGGTGATCCACCCACCTTGGCCTCCCAAAGTGCTGGAATTATAGGCGTGGCCTATCTTTTTTAAAAATTAATTAATTATTTAATTTATTGAGAGGGAGTCTCACTCTGTCACCCAGGCTGAGTGCAGTGGCCCGATCTGAGCTCACTGAAACCTTGTCTTCCCAGGTTTAAGCAATTCTCCTGCCTCAGCCTCCTGAGCAACTAAGATTACAGGCATGTGCCACCATTCCCGGCTAATTTTTGTAGTTTTAGTAGAGACAAAGTATGTTGGCCAGGCTGTTCTCGAACTCCTAACCTCAAGTGATTGACCTGCCTCAGCCTCCCAAAGTGCTGGGATTACAGGTGTGAGCCACCACACCAGGCCTCATTATACTTTTTTAAATGCCGATTTTGCTGTGGGAAAATATATCAGCTAAGAGAGAAAACAAAGAAGTGTAGAAGTGAGACACTCAGCCAGCCTTTCCTTTTCTAACCTATGCTTTCTACATTAGGTAATTTGCAGGCTGGGATGGCCCTGACCAGTAAGTGGCAGTCCCGAGGTGCCCACCAGTCCATACTTGCGTCAAACACATGCAGCTTCACGTCCTGCGCAGGCTGGGCACCTCTCTCTCCGCCCCCAAAGACATACAGCTGGTTTCCAATGGCTGCTGATGATGTGTGGAATGTTCTTGGGGACGGTGGGGGGCTGGTCACTTCTGGCATGGTCCATGTCCTGGTTTCTGGGCCAGAGAGAATGCAGGTACCTAAACACCCAGGCTGAGGGGCTTCTGACCTTGACTCTGGGGCTGAGCAGAGTCAGTTTCCAGATCTCATACTCACAAACATCAAGGAAGAATAAAGATGATACTTAGGATTTGCCAAGACAGTCTAAAATCCCCAAGCTCTAAAAGCTGTAAGTATGAGCCATAAGAATGAGGTCAGGCTAGGTGTAGTGGCTCATGCCTATAATCCCAGCACTTTGGGAGGCCAAGGTGGGCGGATCACTTGAGGTCAGGAGTTTGAGAACAGCCTGGCCAACATGGGGTGAAACCCCATCTCTACTAAAAATATAAAAAATTAGGCCAGGCATAGTGGTTCATGCTTGTAATCCCAGCACTTCGAGAGGCCAAGCCAGACAGACCACGAGGTCAAGAGATGGAGACCATCTTGGCCAACATGGTGAAACCCCATCTCTACTAAAAATACAATAATTAGCTGGGCGTGGTGGTGCATGTCTGTAATCCCAGCTACCTGGAAGGCTGAGGCAGGAGAATCACTTGAACCTGGAAGATGGAGGTTGCAGTGAGCTGAGATCACACTACTGCACTCCAGTCTGAGCAACAGAGAGAGACTCCATCTCAAAATAATAATAAAATACATTTTAAAAATTAGGCTGAGCACAGTGGCTGTAAGGCCTGTACTCCTAGGCTGGAGGACTGCTCGAGTACCAGAGTTTGAGGCTGCAATGAGCTACGATTGTGCCATTGCACTCTAACCTGGGTAAAAGAGTAAGAACATATCTCAAAAAAGAAAGAAATGAAAAAAAAGTAGACAATACTATTACATTTCAGTAGCAGTAATAATAGTCCCTCATAAACAATAAATGCTAAATAAATATTATTTTCCCCATTGTACAGATAAGAGAACTGAAGCAGAGATGGATTAAGCCACTTTTTTATTTTATTTTATTTTATTTATTTATTTTTTTTTGAGACGGAGTTTCGCTCTTGTTACCCAGGCTGGAGTGCAATGGCGCGATCTCGGCTCACCGCAACCTCCGCCTCCTGGGTTCAGGCAATTCTCCTGCCTCAGCCTCCTGAGTAGCTGGGATTACAGGCACGCACCACCATGCCCAGCTATTTTTTTTCTTTTTTTGTATTTTTAGTAGGGATGGGGTTTCACCATGTTGACCAAGATGGTCTCGATCTCTTGACCTTGTGATCCACCCGCTTCGGCCTCCCAAAGTGCTGGGATTACAGGCTTGAGCCACCGCGCCCGGCTAAGTCACTTTTTTAAAGAGACATAGCCAGCCAGGCTTGGTGGCTCATGCCAATAATTCCAACACTTTTGGAGGCTGGAGTGAGTGGACTGCTTGAGCCTAGGAGTTTGAGACCAGCCTGGGAAACATGGAAAAACCCTGTCTCTACAAAAAAATTAGCCAGGCATGGCATTACATGCCTAAATTATCAGCTACCTGAGAGGCTGAGGTGGGAGGATCACCTGAGCCTGCAGTGGTTGAGGCTGCAGTGAGCCATGACCACACCACTGCAACTCCAGCCTGGATGACAGAGTAAGACAAAAGAGAGAGAGAGAGAGGGAGAGGGGCAGAGAGAGAGAGAAAAAGAGAGAGAGAGAGAGAGAGAGAGAGAGAAAGTGACATGCCTAAGAAATGGCTGAGTTGGAATTTAAACTGCTTCAGTAACACCAAGATCTATGTAATTTCCACTCCACTGACTTGGAATAAAATTTCCCCACCTAGATAGATGCATAGAAGCTTATTTCTTTTAAGAACAAAGTCTGGATTTTTATAGAAGCAGGTGCATTGATTGAGGACCCTCAATGGACAGCACCATTGCCCTGGGCACCACCATCCCTGGTGTCTTTTCTCAAGCCTGGGTATCTACTTTCAGATGAGGACTGAAGCTCCATACATTTAAATCCTTTTTTTTTTTTTTTTTTTTTTTTTTTTATGAGAGGGAGTTTCGCTCTTGTTACCCAGGCTGGAGTGCAATGGCGCGATCTCGGCTCACCACAACCTCCGCCTCCTGGGTTCAAGCAATTCTCCTGCCTCAGCCTCCTAAGTAGCTGGGATTACAGGCACGTGCCACCATGCCCAGCTAATTTTTTGTATTTTTAGTAGAGACGGGGTTTCACCATGTTGACCAGGTTGGTCTCGATCTCTCGACCTCGTGATCCACCCACCTTGGCCTCCCAAAGTGCTGGGATTACAGGCTTGAGCCACCGCGCCCAGCCCATTTAAATCCTTTCTTGCAGGTTATAGCATGTGTGAGTAGCAGAGCAGAAGTTTAAACACAGTTGTATCAGAGTTCCTTATTTGCTCTACCATAACACACCAAGAAATTCTGTCTTTTGTAAAAGATCTGCATCCAGTATATAAAATGCCACAGGAAGCATCTGTAACATGTGTGGGACTCAAATGTGGACCTGGAGACTGCGTAAGTCTCAGCCTATATCCAAAGCAAAATGTAACTGTCTCTATAGCTACAGACCTTGAGACCTTTTAGATCTTAGACAGAGCTAGAAAGGCATACATGTGACCTCCAGGGCCAGAAGACTATGGGGCTGTGTTGTTGCCAAGTCAAACACCAGCACAAAGAATCACAAAGGAGTCCTGAACATTTGAGGGACTTGCTTTGGTAACAAGTGCAACTAAGTATGTATTTTGTATTTCTTTGGCATGATGTCAAATTATATTTTCTAGGAGAGAAAAAGGATATGATAGAAAATCACCCTCTTTAATACAAAAATCAACTGGGCATGGCGGCACACGCCTATAATCCCAGCTACTCCGGAGGCTGAGGATGGAGAATCACTTGAACCTGGGAGGCGGAAGTTGCAGTGAGCTGAGATTGAGCCACTGCACTCCAGCCTGGGCAATAGAGAGAGACTCTGTCTGAAAGAAAGAGAGAGAGAGAGAGAGAGAGAGGAGAGAGAAAGAGAGAAAGAAAAAGAAAGAAAGAAAATCACCCTCTTTGACAGAAGCTTTCCAAATTCTCACTGTATTTCATTTCAATGGATATCGTTGTTGAAAATCAAAAGGCCAGGGTTCCAGAATTGATTTCCCTTTGCCAAACCTTAACTACATCAACCACCACAACAGTGATTGAGCATGAATTATGTGCCAGATACTGAGTTAATTTAAATCCTTTACAAATTAACAAGGTAGAAACTATTATCCAATGTGACAGAAAACAGAGGCAGAGAGAGGTTAAATCACTTGCCCAAAGTCATGGTTAGTGCATAGCAAAGCACACACCCTCATCCGTGCCCTTAACCATCATATTATACTTCTACTCTTCAAGCAAATTGGCTTCACAATTAGCCAAACCGTCTGCCAAGTGTCTATTTCTGACAGTGTTCTGTACCCTGAGTATTCAACAATAAACAAACCCTTCCTTTCAAAGCACTTATGTTCCATAGAGGGAGGGGAGGGAGGAGAAGGGAAGACAGGAAATAAATACCCAAACAAATAAATCAAATTAAAAGAAGCTGGGGAATGTGGCTCATGCCTATAATCCCAGCACTTTGGGAGTCCGAGGCGGGTGAATCACCAGAGGATGGGAGTTGACCAGCTTGACAAACATGGAGAAACCCCATCTCTGCTAAAAATACAAAATAAACTGGGTGTGGTGGCACATGCCTGTAATCCCAGCTATTCGGGAGGCTAAGGCAAGAGAATCCCTTGAACCCAGAAGGTGGAGGTTACGGTGAGCCAAGACGGTGCCATTGCACTCCAGCCTGGGCAACAAGAGCAAAACTCCAACATCTCAAAAAAAAAAAAAAAAAAAAGTAACATACTGTCTAAATGTGCTGAAGGAATTTAACTACTTGACACATAAGAAAACTTGGTCCTAGCTCCTAAACTCTGACCAACTATTGTACAAATATATGGTTTCTTTTTATTATTTTTAATTTTTTATTGGGCAATACTCAACAAATGTATTTGGTGGGCAATACCCCAAATATATTGTTGATAGAGGGAACTGAGCCGGAGTTGGCTGACATGAAAAATGTACAGATCAAAAAATACTTTTTTTGAGAGGGAATCTCACCGGTTGCTCAGGCTGTGGTACGATCTCAGCTCACTGCAACCTCTGCCTCCTGGGTTGAAGCGATCTTCCTGCCTTGCCCTCCCCAGTAGCTGGGACTGCAGACATGTGCCACCATGCCTGGCTAATTTTTGTATTTTTAGTAGTGACAGAGTTTCACCATGTTGCCCAGGCTGCTCTCAAACTCCCAACCTCCGGTGATCCACCCGTCTCAGCCTCCCAAAGTGCTGCGATTACAGGTGTGAGCCACCAGGCTGGCCCAAAGTGCATATTTAAATAACTATGTACAAGTTTTTTTGCCTATCAAATTAGTAATATTTAAAACTGATAAATTCAGTGCTCCAGTGAGAGGAGCACTGTTAAACACAGGTGGAGAGAGAATAAACTGGAAAAATCTTTCTGAAGAGCAATTTGGTAGTATGTATCAAAACCTTGAAAAGGTTCACAGTATTTTACCTAGTCTTTTTATTTCTTGGCAGGAACCCTAAGAAAATAATTTGAAATACAGCCAATCGGCCGGGCGCGGTGGCTCAAGCCTGTAATCCCAGCACTTTGGGAGGCCGAGGCGGGTGGATCACGAGATCGAGACCATCCTGGTCAACATGGTGAAACCCCGTCTCTACTAAAAATACAAAAAATTAGCTGGGCATGGTGGTGTGTGCCTGTAATCCCAGCTACTCAGGAGGCTGAGGCAGGCGAATTGCTTGAACCCAGGAGGCGGAGGTTGTGGTGAGCCTAGATCGTGCCATTGCACTCCAGCCTGGGTAACAAGAGTGAAACTCCGTCTCAAAAAAAAAAAAAAAAAAAAAGAAATACAGCCAATCATTTCTGAATGAAGATGTTCACTGCTTTGTTAATTATAGTGGTAAAAACCTGAAAAGAACTAAATGTTCATAAATGGAGGAATTATGGTATTATGGAGTATTATATTTAATTGAGTATTATATGGCCATTAAAAAGAATGTTAGCCAGGCGCAGTAACTCATGTCTGTCATCTCAAAACTTTGGGAAGCCAAGGGGGGCAAATTGCTTGAGCCTAGGAGTTTGAGATCAGCTTGGGCAACATGGGAAAACCCTGTCTCTACAAAAAAAAAAAGAAAGAAAGAAAGAAATTAGCTAGGCATGGTGGCAACCGCCTGTAGTCCCAGCTCTTGGGAGACTGAGGTAGGAGGATCACCTGAGCCTGGGTGGTCGAGGCTGCAGTGAGCTGTGATGGCACCACCGCATTCCAGCCTGGGCAACAGACTGAGATCCTGCCTCAAAAAAAAAAAAAAAAAAAAGTTAACCACAACAAAACAAAACAAAACAAAACAAATGATACGATATTAACAAAGCATTGTTATTAATAACAAATTAATTATTTTTGCTAAAGCCCCCCAAAACACTATTTCTGCTGGGATTATGAACTTAAAAGGAAAAAGTGTTACTAATGTGTAAATATATTATGATTTTAGGCTTGTAAAAACAGAGAAAAGACAGAAAGGAAGAAGACAGAAAGTTGTCAATAGCCTTAATGTAATAGGACTGTGGATGACTTTTGTCCACTCACTTGTGCTTTTCATTTTACAATGAACATAAATGATATTTGTAAAGAGAAAAACAGAAACAAACAAACAAAAGGCAAAAAGACAAGTCCACCTCCCACTGGCAGTTTAGCAACCTCTTCTCTGTAGTGATGTTCCTAAACTGCTTCCTCTATGATAAAACTGCCAGTGATGGAAACATGAAGATTTGAAAAACAAAAACAAAGAAAACTAACAAACAAAAATCTTGCCAGTGAGACAAGTTAGGAACTTTGTACTTTTGGCTCAAAGAAACATACTAGGAGGATCCAGGTCAGTGTTTCTTAACTTTGGTACTACTGACATTTTAGACCAGGTAGTTCTTTCCTGTAGTGGCTGTCCTGGGCACGACAGGATAGATATACAGCACATCTGGCCTCTACTCCCAGAAGCCAGTAGCCTACACTACCCCCAGCTGTGATCACCCAAAATGTTTCCAGATATGGCCAAATGGGACGTCCCCCAGGGGGCACAATCGCCCTTATTGGAGAACCACTGATTTAGGTGACTTGGGTTCTAAGCTTGGCTCAGTCACTGACTCCCCTGTGACTGACTTTCTTTTCTTTTCTTTATTTTTTTTAGATGGAGTTTCACTCTTGTTACCCAGGCTGGAGTGCAATGGCGCGACCTCGGCTCACCGCAACTTCCGCCCCCTGGGTTCAGGCAATTCTCCTGCCTCAGCCTCCTGAGTAGCTGGGATTACAGGCACGCACCACCATGCCCAGCTAATTTTTTGTATTTTTAGTAGAGACGGGGTTTCACCATGTTGACCAGGACGGTCTTGATCTCTTGACCTCGTGATCCACCTGCCTTGGCCTCCCAAAGTGCTGGGATTACAGGCTTGAGCCACCGCGCCCGGCCTTTTCTTTTTTTTTTAAGTCTCACTTTGTCACCCAGGCTGGAGTGCAGCGGCATGATCTTGGCTCACTGCAACCTCCGCCCCCTGGGTTCAAGTGATTCACCTGCCTCAGCCTACCGAGTAGCTGGGATTACAGGCACCCGCCACCACACCCAGCTAATTTTTGTATTTTTAGTAGCGGTGGAGTTTCACCATATTGGCCAGGCAGATCTGGAACTCCTGATCTCAAGTGATCCCACTGCCTCAGCCTCCCAAAATGCTGGGATTACAGGTATCAGCCACCACGCCCAGCCACTTGTGACTTTATGAAAGTCACTTTCCCTTGATAAACCTGAGTTGCCTGCTTGGCATAGCTGTTCTCTGAAGTCCCTGCCAGCTTTGACATTTAACAAGTTGAAAATTGTGTTACCAAAAAATTATTTTATTCTGTTGTTTTCAGATTATACTACAAGTTAAAATTCCTATTTTCTATAATGTCAGCAAAGTTAAATGGTAATCAGTATAATTCAAATGTACTGGAATTATAATTGGATTTATATACATATGCATGAATGTTTATTTGTATTTATGTAAATAAAATAACTTTTGGCTACTTACCAGGATTCAGGACTTGTAGACAATTTCGATTTCCTGATTGGTTGGCACCTCCAAATACCCAGATACTGTCAGGTGTGCAGGAGGGAATGAAGCTAGCATGTTCATACCGGGGCAAGAGGCCCTTGCAGGTAACTAAGTCCCACTGGTGTTTTCCTGGAAAACATTTCACCCAGATCCTAGATTGGGGCTGTCAATGATCACATTGGTTGGCACACTTGGGGAGGGTCATGAGAAGAGGGCCATAAGCATAAATGAAAACCACTGAATTGCTTAAAGGGCATGTTGTCAACCTCCAGAAAGTTCTATCGTAGATACTTAGGGGACTCTCTACCTAGTCCATAGACCTTGTTCTATGGAAACTGTCCCCACTTTCTCAACCACAAGGATAAATCCTAGGTCACATGTATGTACTACACTTTGACTTTGTAGCTTTAGCTGATTGGGTTGAAGGTAGCCACTGAAACCAGAATGGGCCAATCAGATCAAATGCTTCCACTTTCTCATGATCCTGAGCTGTACTTCCTGTCCTTGAATTATTTGAAAAACATCTGTATCTGAATAAATACCTCCTTTTGCCTCTGGTTTAAGTGGAATTCTATTACTTGCAAATAAATGATGGCTGGCTAAAACTAGTTCACAGAATATACTCAACCTTCATTATTAGTATTTATTTTAGTTGGTTAACCAATGACATAGGACATTCGTAGGCATTATCTTGTCAGATCTGAAACAAATTATTACGCCTACTTTATAGGACACTGAGGTCCAGATGGTTAAGATGGTGTAGCTAGGGTCACAAAGCTATTAATAGGTTGCAATAAAGATGTAAGTGAACAATTTCATGTAATTGAGGGCTGAAAGTGATTTAATTTACCTTTGATTTTTTTTTCTTTTTTTGAGATGGAGTTGCCCAGGCTGGAGTGCAGTGGTGCCATCTTGGCTCCCTGCAACCTCCGGTTAAAGTGATTCTCCTGCCTCAGCCTCCCAAAGAGCTGAGATTACAGTTGTGTGCTACCAGGCCCAGCTAATTTTTGTATTTTTAGTAGAGATGGGGGTTTCACCATGTTGGGCAGGCTGGCCTCGAACTCCTGAACTCAAGTGATCTACCTGCCTCAGACTCCCAAGGTACTGGGATTACATCTTGTTCAGTCTATCTTCCATTTTTTTAGTGCAGGGTATAGAAATTCAAATGCCTAGACAGGAGTAACACAAACTGTGGCAAACTAAAGAATAAGCACTCTCTTGATAGGTGGCAGGTCAGTTCCAAATAATCGTTGCCATATAGACATGCATGCCTACTGATATTAGATTTTCCAAAATTAACAAGAGAAGCCAGACCATTTAAATTGTTATATGTAGACTTCTGCGTATTTGGTTGGTAAACAATTTAAGCTTAGGCTGGGCATGGTGGCTCATGCATGTAATCCCAGCACTTTGGGAGGCTGAGGCGGGTGGATCACTTGAGGTCAGGAATTTAAGACCAGCCTGGCCAACATGGTGAAAACCCATCTTTACTAAAAATATAAGAATTATCCGAGCATGGTGGTATGTACCTATAGTCCCAGCTATTTGGGAGTCTGAGGCAGGAGAATCACTTTAACCTGGGAGGCAGAGGTTGCAGTAAGCCAAGATCGTGCCACTGTACTCCAGCCTGGGTGAAAGTTTGATCCTCTGTTTCAAAAACAACAACAACAACAACAACTTAAGATTAAAACAATATGGAAATGTTACATGGACCTAACAAAATATGTATGTGGGCTACCAGTGTTCAACTTCTGCCCTTGTGCATAGCAGAGAATAATCGTTTCTCCTTTTTTTTTGAGATGGAGTCTTGCTGTCACCAGACTGGAGTGCAGTGGCGCCTCCTAGGATCAAGCAATTCTCCTTTCTCAGCCTCCCTAGTAGCTGGGACTACAGGCATGCCCCACCACGCCCGGCTAACTTTTTTCGTATTTTTAGTAGAGATGGGGGTTTCACCATATTGGCAAGGATGGTCTTGATCTCCTGACCTCATGATCCACCTGCCTTGGCCTCCCAAAGTGCTGGGATTGCAGGTGTGAGCCACCAGGCCTGGCTAATAATTGTTTCTTATTAGTGGGTTCATTCATTCATTACTTTAAATACTTATAGAGCAACCACTCTGTACTAAGCCCTGTGGTAGTGGCCGGGGATACAATGATGAGCAAAATATGCTACCTGTTTTTTTTTGTTTGTTTTTTTTTTTGAGACGGAGTTTCACTCTTGTTTGCCAAGATGGAGTGCAATGGTGTGATCTCTGCTCACCACAACCTCCGCCTCCCAGGTTCAAGCGATTCTCCTGCCTCAGCCTCCTGAGCAGCTGGGATTACAGACATATGCCACCATCCTGGCTAATTTTGTATTTTTTTTTTTTTTTTTAAAGAACGAGGTCTCACTATATTGCCCAGGCAGGTCTTGAACTCCTGGGCTCAAGCTATCCTCCCGCCTCTGCCTCCCTAAGAGTTGGGATTACAGGCGTGAGCCACAGCACCTGGCCTAACTTTGTATTTTTAGTAGAGATGGGGTTATGTTGGTCAGGCTGGTCTCCAACTCCCGACCTCAGGTGATCCACCCACCTCAGCCTCCCAAAGTGCTGGGATTACAGGCCTGAGCCACCACGCCCCACCACCTGTTTCTAAGGAGCTTATGTTTTTGTGGGGCAGACAGACAAGAAACAATCACACGTGGCAGGGCTGTGAAGGCAGACAGGATGGACAAGCACATGAGACTATAAATATACAGAGTCATGTAGTGCCTGAACGAGCCCAGAAGTAATGGGAAAGGCTCCTGGCAGAAGTGACATTTAGGCCGGGCGCGGTGGCTCAAGCCTGTAATCCCAGCACTTTGGGAGGCTGAGGTGGGTGGATCACGAGGTCAAGCGATCGAGACCATCCTGGTCAACACGGTGAAACCCCGCCTCTACTAAAAATACAAAACATTAGCTGGGCATGGTGGCACATGCCTGTATTCCCAGCTACTCAGGAGGCTGAGGCAGGAGAATTGCCTGAACCCAGGAGGCGGAGGTTGTGGTGAGCCGAGATCGCGCCATTGCACTCCAGCCTGGGTAACAAGAGCGAAACTCCGTCTCAAAAAAAAAAAAAAAGTGACATTTAATCTGAAATCTGAAAGATAAAGACTAGCCAGATGATAAGGAAAGGGAAAAACCCTCCAAGCAGAGGAAACTGTATGTGCAAAGGCATGGAGGCCAGAGGGCTCAAGCTGTGTTCAAGAACTGAGGCGTATCCAGTGCAGCAAATGTGGGTTGGGGAGAGCCAAGAAATGAGGTTTGGGCCAGGTGCAGTGGCTCACGCCTGTGTCTCAGTACTTCGGGAGGCCAAGGTGGGCGAATCACTTGAAGCCAGAAGTTTGAGATCAGCCTGGCCAACGTGATTAAACCCCATCTCTACTAAAAATACAAAAATTAGCTGGGCATGGTGGCGTACGCCTGTAATCCCAGCTACTTGGGAGGCTGAGGCAGGAGAATCACTTGAACCTGGGAGGCAGAGGTTGTGGTGAACTGAGATCGCACCACTGTACTCCAGCGTGGGTGACACAGCGAGACTCAGTCTCAAAAAAAAAAAAAAAAAAAAAATGAAGTCAAGAAAGGCCTGAAGTAGGGAGTGACATGGGCAGATTTGTATTTTAGATGATATTCTCTGGCTAGACACAGAACATGCACAGTATAGGCTGGGTGCAGTGACTCATGCCTGTAATCCCAGCACTTAGGGAGGCCAAGCTGGGCAGATCATGAGGTCAGAAGTTTAAGACCAGCCTGGCCAATATGGTGAAACCCTGTCGCTACTAAAAATACAAAAAAAATTCAGCAGGGCATGGTGGCACACGCTTGTAGTCCTGGCTACTTGGGAGACTGAGGCAGGAGAATCGCTAGATCTGGAAAGCAGAGGTTGCAGTGAGCCAAGATCATGCCACTGCACTCCAGCCTGGGTGACAGAGCGAGACTCTGTCTCAAAAAAAAAAATAATAAATGCACTGTATAAGTAGGTAAACTTGGAAGCAGGGAGACCGATGAGGAGGCTATTGTAAGTCTAGTTGAGAGAAAACAGTGGCTTGGACTACAATAGCAGTAGTGGAAATAGACAGATATGGATAAAGATAAGAGATATCTAGCGCTTGGTGATTTATGAGATATGTATACAGAATGAGTAGTGGTAGTCATTGATGTATCCTACAGAAATATTTGATGAATAAATGGTTGGACAACCAGGGCTCCATGAGGGTTCTTTCCTCCTAAAGGTATTGGTCAGATGAATGCATGCCAGGGGACTGCTGAGAAACATTAGATTGAATTTTGCTCCTGTTGCCCAGGCTGGAGTGCAGTGGCACGATCTTGGCTCACTGCATCCTCTGCCCCCGGGGTTCAAGCGATTCTCCTGCCTCAGCCTCCCCAGTAGCTGAAATTACAGGTGCCAACCACCATACCTGGCTCTTTTTTTGCATTTTTAGTAGACATGAGTTTTCACCATGTTGTCCAGGCTAGTCTCAAACTCTTGATCTCAGGTGATCCACCTGCCTCGGCCTCCCAAAGTGCAGGGATTACAGGCGTGAGCCACCATGCCCAGCCATTTTTTTCTTATAGGAAAACCCTGCTGGTATTCTTACAATGTTTTGCTCATAGCTGGCAGCACACGGCCCTGCTCTCTGGCAACAGGTCATGTGCTCCGCAGTTGCTGGTCTTACCGAGATCCATGGCGTGCACATCTGAAAAGCTTCTGTTTGGATTTGCTCCCCCAACAATGAAGACCTTCCCTCTCTTGGCATTACCAACTGGGGGTAAATATGAACAGCTGTGGCCAACTCGAGCACAGGGGCTGTCTCCAGGGAGAGTCAAGGTGTACCTGCCAAAGGGAGGATGTATTCAGGAGGCCTGAGCAGAGAATAAATGCAGTAGTGCATTCTTTCCATTACTCATGAAATATTCAGCGAATGAAGGGTCTTATGCAGACACTTTAAACTGTACCCACCAAAACAGTGCTTCTCTGATTAATAACAGTACCTCCCGAGATGGGCGTGGTGGCTCACACCTATAATTCCAGTACTTTGGGAGGCTGAGGTGGGCAGATCATGAGGCAAAGAGATCGAGACCATCCTGGCCAACATGGTGAAACCCGTCTCTACTAAAAACACAAAAATTAGCTGGGCATGGTAGTGTGTGCCTGTAGTCCCAACTACTCAAGAGGCTGAGGCAGGAGAATTGCTTGCACCTGGGAGGTGGAGGTTGCAGTGAGCCAAGATCACAGCACTGCACTCCAGCCTGGCGACAGAGTGAGATTGTCTCATAAAAAAAATAAAATAAATAATAGTACCTCCCCTTTGCACACAGTCTTTGGCTTTTCAATGTTGTCACTGTCTTCATCTCACAGTGATCTGGTAGGGATGCACTGAGCTTATTTGTCCCCATTTGGTAGACAGCGAAACTGACCTCCAGAAATGCTCAGTGATGTGTCTTGGCACAGAATGGTGGCTGTGAACACGGTGTGTGAATTCAGACAGATCTGGTTTGAATTCCAGCTCAGGTACTTCCTAGATGTGTGACCTTTGGGAAATCATTTAACCTTTCTGAACTTTAGTTTACTCATTTGTGAAATGAGGATAGCAATAGTTCTTAATGCAAAAGATAATTGTGAAGACAAGAAGTCATAACAGGGCAGGGAAGGACTCAATAAATGGTGACTGGAGCTTTATGTGCCACCACATGGGAACCAACAGCCTCAGGGTTCTTGCCACTAGCCAATGATTCCTCCCCATCAAAAAGTTCTCCAGAATTTACTGATTTAAGAGCTTTTCCAGATTACTCACAAAACTCAATCTGATGGAAGCCAAAGCTACTCGCTCAGTTGCCCAGGCTGAGTGCAGTGCAATCTTGGTTCAAAACAACCTCCACTTTCTGGGTTCAAGCGATTCTCCTGCCTCAGCCACCCGAGTAGCTGGGACCACAGGTGTGCACCACCACACCCAGCTAATTCTGTATTTTTAGTACAGATGGGGTTTTACCATGTTGGCCAGGATGGTCTTGATCTCTTGACCTCGTGATCCAACTGCTTCAGCCTCCCAAAGTGCTGGGATTGCAGGCGTGAGCCACTGCACCCAGCCAGAGTCTCTCTCTCTTTTTCCAAGTAGAGATGGGGGTCTTGCTATGTTGGCCAGGTTGGTCCTGTACGCCTGGCCTCAAGTAATCCTTCTGCCCTAGTCTCCCAAAGTGCTAAGATTACAGGGATGTGCCCACCGTGCCCAGCCCATTCCACTCTCCACAGTGATTCTGGATGCTGACTTCAAGTTTCATTGTTGGAAAATAAAATTCTGTAGCTATTTTTCAGGCCCTGTCTTATTTGACCTCTTAGGAGTTTGGGACTCCTGGCCTCTCCCTCCTTCTTGTGCCTTTCTCCCAGCCTGTCTTTCTCACATCCCTCCCTCTGGTTCTGCCCTCACCTTTCTGGATCTCCTTTCTGCATCCTTCTCCAACTCCTTTCCTGCCAGCCACCTCCTGATGCTCAGTCATCCTTGGGATTCTCTTTTCCTCAGTTTACATTTGCTTACCTAATTAATGTTGTCTGTAGTGATAACTTCAATTACCACTCATCTACTTACTCTTTTTTTTTTTTAATTTTTTTCTTTTTTAAAAAAATAAAGACAGGGTTTTACCATGTTGGTCAGGCTGGTCTTGAACTCCTGACCTCAGGTGATCCACCCATTTTGGCCTCCAAAGTGCTTGGATTACAGGTGTGAGCCACCACACCCGGCCACCACTCATCTACTTATTCATCAGTGGTTGCCAAATCTGTTTCCCATTCAGATCTCTATTCTGATGTCACTTAATCTACACAAATCCCCTTTGAAGGCTGGGCACAGTGGCTCATGCCTGTAATCCCAGCACTTTGGGAGGCTGAGGTGGGCAGATCATGAGGTCAAAAGATTGAGACCATCCTGGCCAACATGGTGAAAGCCCGTCTCTCTCTCTCTTTTTTTTTTTTTTAAAAAAAAAAAAAAAAAAAGACGGGGTTTCGCCATGTTGGATGGGCTGGTTTCAAACTCCTGACCTCAAGTGATCCACCTGCCTCGGCCTCCCAAAGTACTGGGATTACAGGTGTGAGCCACCATACTCAACTGAAGCCCCATCTCTACTAAAATACAAAACTTACCTGGGCCTTTAGTCCCAGCTACTCTGGAGGCTGAATCAGGAGAATTGCTTGAACCAGGCAGGCAGAGGATGTGAGCCAAGATCACACCACCGCACTGTAGCCTGGAAACAGAATGAGTCTCCATCTCAACAAACAAACAAACAAACAAACAAACAAACAGACAAAAAACCCTTTGAGGATAACAGCTGTTATCATCATCTGAGTATTACAACTGAGGAACTGAGGCGTAGAAAGGTTAAGTAACATTAGCTGGGCATGGTGGCGCGTGCCTGTAATCCCAGCTACTCAAGAGGCTGAGGCAGGAGAATTGCCTGAACCCAGGAGGCGGAGGTTGCGGTGAGCCGAGATCGCGCCATTGCACTCCAGCCTGGGTAACAAGAGCGAAACTCAAAAAAAAAGAAAAAGAAAAAGAAAGGTTAAGTAACTTACCCAAAAGCACACAGCCACCCAGAGATGGTGGATATGACAAAAAAAGTCCTTGCCTTGATAGCCCTATTGTTTGAGATAGTTAAACAATTTCACGACTATCTGTTTCACTTCAATTGTGGTAGAAAGGAGTACAGAATATATAGCATGAGGACATGCATGTCTTAGGAGGGGCTTACCCTGTAAGGAGCCAGGGAGATGGGGTGATCAGAGGAGGCTTCCTGAAGAAGCATCATTTGGATAGAGATCTGAAGTATGAGTAGAAGTTAGCTGGGCAGGCCAGGCATGGTGGCTCACACCTGTAATCCCAGCACTTTGGGAGGCTGAAGTAGGAGGATTGCTTAAGCCCAGGAGTTTGAGACCAGCCTGGGCAACATGGCAAGACCCTGTCTCTCTCTTTTTTTTTAGACAGATTCTCATTCTGCCCAGGCTGGAGTGCAGTGGTGCAATATCGGCTCAGTGTAACCTCCCCTTCTTGGGTTCACACAATTCTCCTGCCTCAGCCTCCTGGGTAGCTGGGACTACAGGTGTATGCTACGATGCCCAGCTAATTTTTTATATTTTTAGTAGAGATGGGGTTTCATCATGTTAGCCAGGATGGGTGAGATCCTGTCTCTCAAAAAACAAAAAAAAAAATTAGCTGGGCATGGTAGAACACACTCATAGTCCCAGTTACTTGGGAGACTGATGGGGAGGGTTACTTGAGCCCAGGAGGTCCAGGCTATAATGAGCTGTGATTGTACGACTGCATTCCAGCCTGGCTGGCTAGCCACAGAGGAAGATATTGTCTCAAAAATAAAACAAAATAAGCTGGGCAGGCTGGGCGCGGTGGCTCACGCCTATAATCCCAGCACTTTGGGAGGCCAAGGCGGGTGGGTGGATCACCAGGTCAAGAGATTGAGACCGTCCTGGTCAACATGGTGAAACCCCGTCTCTATGAAAAAAAAAATAACCTGGGCAAAGAGAGGGACAAAGGTGGAGGGAAAGAAGTCCAGGCAGAGACCAGCATGTGCAGCTCCTGGGTAGAACAGCAGGGCACAGTAAAGAAGGGAAAGGTAACAAAGGAACAAGTCACGGGAGCTGAGGTTGGAAATACAAGCAGAAACATTGAGCAGCAAACACTGGGCCAGTTTAAGAAGTTTGATTTTTTAAATTTTGTTTTTAGGATGGAGTCTCAATGGTGCTTCTAACCTCTGTTGCCCAGGCTGGAGTACAGTGGCGCCATCTTGGCTCACTGCAACCTCTGCCTCCCAGGTTCAAGCGATTCTCCTGCCTCAGCCTCCCGAGTGGCTAGGATTAGAGGCATGCACTACAACACCCCACTAATTTTTGTATTTTTGGTAGAGACGGGGTTTCGCCATGTTGACCAGGCTAGTCTCAAATCCCTGGCCTCAAGTGATCTGCCAACTTCAGCCTCCCAAAGTGCTAGGATTATAGGCATGAGCCATTGCGCCTGGACAGAAGTCTGATTTTTTTTGAGACGGATTCTTGTCTGTCACTCATGCTGGAGTGCAGAGGCATGATCTCGGCTCACTGCAAAATCTGCCTCCCGGGTTCAAGCAATTCTCCTGTCTCAGCCTCCCTAATAACTGGAACTACAGTTGCAAGCCACCACACCGGCTAATTTTTGTTGTTGTTGTTGTTGTTGTTGTTGTTTTTGAGATGGAGTTTCGCTCGTTACTCAGGCTGGAGTGCAATGGCACGATCTCGGCTCACCGCAACCTCCGCCTCCTGGGCTCAGGCAATTCTCCTGCCTCAGCCTCCTGAGTAGCTGGGATTACAGGCACGCACCACCATGCCCAGCTAATTTTTTTGTATTTTTAGTAGAGACAGGGTTTCACCATGTTGACCTGGATGGTCTCGATCGCTTGACCTCGTGATCCACCTGCCTCGGCCTTCCAAAGTGCTGGGATTACAGGAGTGAGCCACTGCGCCCGGCCAATTTTTGTATTTTAAGTAGAGATAGGGTTTCACCATATTGGTCAGGCTGGTTTCAAACTCCTGACCTCAGGAGATCCACCCACCTCGACCTTCCAAAGTGCTGGAATTACAGGCATGAGCCACTGCACCCAGCTCAGGAGTCTGATTTTTATCCCAACACCAATAGGGAGGCACAAAAGGATTTTAAACTAGGAAATGTCATGATTGGCTGTATTCTGGGTACAGAGCAAGACAGATGCAGGGAAGCCAGATTGGAGTCTCTCCTTCAAGGTCCAGTTGAAAAACTGAAACCTCTCTACAGCCTTCTGTGGACCCAGCCTTGGAACAGATCACATTTCATCACCATCACCTGCTTAGTCTGTAGTCCTCAGTACACAGAGACTATTACAATTTTACCTCTAGCAGCCACACAGCAGCTGCCCCCATCAGGCCAATGTTGGTCATTGAAAAAAGGTTGGCTGAACAAAATGGCCAAGAAACAGCGAAGCCAGTTTAATCCAAATCTAATTTCCTAAAAATCTTAAAAATGAGTCAGAGCTCAGGGGAAGACACAGAGGCTGCCAGATGGTCAGTGCCTTACTCTTTCTCGTAAATGGATTTTAATAAAATCAACATCTGCTCTGTGATAATTACTGCCCCCCTATCTTTCCTCTGAAGACCTTCTCAGACAGTTGGAGTCTAATTACCAGAAACTGCAGACAGTTTCATCTCTACCCTTTTTTGTTGATGATCAAATATGTTAGTAAACTACTCATAAATGAAACAAAAACTCATGCTTTTCTGTGTTTGGATCCTTCCTTACAGACCATGATGCTTTCCTGGGCTTGTCTCCAGGTTCCAAGATTGGCAGCTGCTTCATGGTGTCCTATGCATAAGAAAGAAAGGTACTTGTTAGACATTTATGGTTATCTTCTTCCTAAAACACAGGACAAATCAGTTCAACCTCCTCTTTGAAACCTTTCCTACTAAATGTACTAATTTCTAGGGCCTGATTAATTTAAATAAGCACCACCAACCTTTCATTTTTATTTATTATGTATGTATGTATTTATTTGAGTCAGAGTTTCACTTGAGTTGGAGTTTCACTCTTGCTGCCCAGGCTGGAGTGCAATAGGATGATCTCAGCTTACTGCAACCTCCACCTCCCGGGTTCAAGCAATTCTCCTGCCTCAGCCTCCTGAGTAGCTGGGATTACAGGCATGTGCTGCCATGCCTGGCTAATTTTTTTTTTTTTTTTTTTTTTTTTTTGAGACAGAATCTTGCTCTGTCTCCAGGCTGCAGTGCAGTTGCGCAATCTCAGCTCACTGCAACCTCCACCTCCTGGGTTCACGTGATTCTCCTGCCTCAGCCTCCCAAGTAGCTGAGACTACAGGCACATACCATCACGCTCAGCTGATTTTTGTGATTTTAGTAGAGATGGGGTTTCACCATGTTGGCCAGGATGGTCTCGATCTCTTGACTTCATGATCTGCCTGCCTGGGCCTCTCAAAGTTCTGGGATTACAGGCATAAGCCATTGCACTCAGCCTTATTTTTTGTATTTTTAGTAGGGATGGGGTTTCGCCATGTTAGTAAGGCCAGTCATCTCGAACTCCTGACCTCAGGTGATCTGCCTGCCTTAGCCTCTCAAAGTGCTGGGATTACAAGCATGAGCCACTGTGCCCGGCTTTATTTTTTATTTTATTTTTTCTGAGATGAAGTCTTACTCTCTCGCCCAGGCTGGAGTGTACTAGTATGATCTCGGACCACTGTAGTCTTTGCCTCCTAGGTTCAAGAGATTCTCCTGCCTCAGCCTCCTAAAGTGCTAGGATTACAGGTGCAAGCCACCAGTCCCAGCCTATTTATTTATTTTTAATTAAAAATAGAAATGGGGGCCGGGCGCGGTGGCTCAAGCCTGTAATCCCAGCACTTTGGGAGGCCGAGGCGGGTGGATCACGAGGTCAAGAGATCGAGACCATCCTGGTCAACATGGTGAAACCCCGTCTCTACTAAAAATACAAAAAAATTAGCTGGGCATGGTGGTGCGTGCCTGTAATCCCAGCTACTCAGGAGGCTGAGGCAGGAGAATTGCTTGAACCCAGGAGGCGGAGGTTGCGGTGAGCCGAGATCGTGCCATTGCACTCCAGCCTGGGTAACAAGAGTGAAACTCCATCTCAAAAAAAAAAAAAAAAAAAATAGAAATGGGGCCAGGCACAGTGGCTCACACCTGCAATCCCAACACTTTGGGAGGCTGAGGCGGGTGGATCAGCTGAGATCAGGAGTTTGAGACAAGCCTGACCAACATGGTGAAACCCCACCTCTGCTAAAAATACAAAAATTAGGCCAGGCGCCGAGGCTCAGGCCTGTAATCCCAGCACTTTGGGAGGCCGAAGCGGGTGGATCACGAGGTCAAGAGATCGAGACCATCCTGGTCAACATGGTGAAACCCCGTCTCTACTAAAAATACAAAACATTAGCCGGGTGCGGTGTCTCAAGCCTGTAATCCCAGCACTTTGGGAGGCTGAGGCGGGTGGATCACGAGGTCAAGAGATCGAGACCATCCTGGTCAACATGGTGAAACCCCGTTTCTACTAAAGATACAAAAAATTGAGCTGGGCATGGTGGCACGTGCCTGTAATCCCAGCTACTCAGGAGGCTGAGGCAGGAGAATTGCTTGAATCCAGGAAGTGGAGGTTGTGGTGAGCCGAGATCGCGCCATTGCACTCCAGCCTGGGTAACAAGAGCGAAACTCCGTCTCAAAAAAAAAAAAAAAAAAAAATTAGCTGGGCATGGTGGCGCATGCCTGTAATCCCAGCTACTCAGGGGGCTGAGGCAGGAGAATTGCCTGAACCCAGGAGGCGGAGATTGCGGTGAGCCGAGATCGCGACATTGCACTCCAGCCTGGGTAACAAGAGCAAAACTCCGTCGCAAAAAAAAAAAAAAAACCCACAAAAATTAGCCCACCGTGGTGCTGTGCACCTGTAATTCCAGCTACTCAGGAGGCTAAGGCAGGAGAATCGCTTCAACTGGGAGGCGGAGACTGCAGTGAAGTGAGATCTTGCCACCGAACTCCAGCCTGAGCAACAGAGCAAGACTAGTCTCAAAAAAAAAAAAAAAAAAAAAAAAAAAAAAAAAGTCCAGGCGCAGTAGCTCGCGCCTGTAATCCCAGAAGTTTGGGAGGCCAAGGTGGGTGGATCACCTGAGATCAGGAGTTTGAGACCAGCCTGGGCAACATGGCGAAACCCCATCCCTACTAAAAGTACCAGTTAGCTGGGTGTGGTGGCATATGCCTGTAATCCCAGCTACTTGGGAGGCTGAGGCAGAATTGCTTGAACCCGGGAGAGAGAGGTTGCAGTGAGCCGTGACTGTGCCACTGCACTCCATCCTGAGCGACAGAGCAAGACTGTCTCAAAAAAATAAAATAAAATAAATAATAAATAAATAAATAATAAAGAGACAGAAATACTGAACTCTAAGGATAAATCTTGGCCTCAGCATAGCATAGAAAGTAAAGCCTTATGGTGTCAACCTTTTTTTCTGGGAACTCACCTCCACAATCTCTTGCATTGTTGGGCTTTTTGCTGTTCGTGTAATATGTCAGGCCTTTTCATAATCTTGCTGTCTGTGCTGCTTCCCCTATCTGGAGTGTCGCTTCCCTTCTGGGAAATTTGCAAACTCGTAGTCAACCTTGAAAGCCCAGTTCAAAAGTCCCTTCCTTAGTGAAACCTTAACTGATTTTTCACTTTTCTCTTCCACCCTCTTCCAAGTTACTTCCTTCTCCCACCCACTGGGCTCTCAAGGTATTAAGCCACCGCCACTGCAGGAATCACTTGGAATGCGTTTAACTATTTAATGCCCCTAGACTAGATTCTAGACTAAGTTCCTAGGGAGCTGGGCCTGTCAGATTCATCCTGAGAACCTACCAATGGACCTGGCATAGAGTAGAAGTCGGAGAGTGACGAGTGAATGAAGAAAGAAAATAGATCGAGAGATGAATGGATAAATCCCACCTGCGGCCTAGGCCACTGACCGCTGTCCCCAAAATCCAGAGGTCAGTGAGGTTGGCTTCATGCGGGCGGGACCTCCCGCAGCCGCTGCCGCTACCCGCCCCCCAAATCTCATCCCCACGTGGCAGTTCTAGGGGATAGGACACGGGGTCGGGAGAGAACAGGCTGGTTTTCTTTCGGTCAAAGTGGATGGGACGGAGCCAGAGAAGGCCCTTCCTAATTCTTTCCACCCGGCTTGGGCCTACTCCTCTAGAGGATTCGGAACCCCTGCCCGAGATTGTGATAGACCCTGGATCCGGGGACCCCCGACCCCCACGTGCCAGCCCCGGACCGCATTACCTGCGGCGACTTAGGCCAGTTGCGAGCCGTGACTCCGCCCCGGAGGGGCGGGGCTTAGGTCCGGGCTCCCCACTCCCAGGACCCGGAAGAGCGTGCGGGCCAACCGCTCCCCCTCTCTGCTCCGCCCCAGGGCCTGGTGCTGCCTTCCTAGGCTGGCGGTGGAGGGTCCCCCGACAAGACCCGGAGTGTCCGCCAGGCTGTGCATTTCTCGGGAATCACGCGGGCTGGGCCTTCCCTGGATCCCTCCCTCCCCGACGGGATAAATAAGCCGGGGCTGCTTGGAAACGACTTGTGCAATGCCTGGTTCGGGCGTCCGTTTGGGGAACCGAAATTCCTGCCGTAGCTGATCTACTCTATAAGGGACTAACCGGGCCGGGCGCCACCACACTCCAGCCTGGGCAACAGCGCAAAAACTCCGTCTCAAAAAAAAAAAAAAAAAAAAAAAGTAGGCCGGGGATGGTGGCTGACGCCTGTAATCCTAGCACTTTGGGAGGCCAAGGCGGGTGCATTGCCTGGGGTCAGGAGTTCGAGACCAGCCTGCTAACATGGTGAAACCCGTCTCTACTAAAAATACAAAAAGGAGCTGGGCCTGATGGCGGGTGCCTGTAATCTCAGCTATTCCGGAGGCTGAAGCAGTAGAATCGCTTGAACTCTGGCGGGTGGAGGTTGCTGTCAGCCGAAATCCGCCACTTTTCGCTCATAAGAGCATTAAGAGCAAAACGCCATCTGAAGGGGAGGAGTGGGCGGAGGTATAACAGTTAACACTGGAGGGGGCGGGGGTATAACAGTTAACGCTTTCAGTTACAACGATTGTTAACGGTTTCAGAAGGGGAGAGAGCTCAGCCTGCAATCTGCTTGCGCAGTCTTCAGGCCTGCTCAAGATTTGGTGGTTTAAACAGCTGATTCATTCCATAATTGCCATTTGTAATTATGGCAGGTGCCTATAATCCCAGCGACTTGGGAGGCTGAGGCAGGAGAATCACCTGAACCCGGGAATGAAGGTTGCAGTGAGCCAAGGTCGCGCCACTGCACTCCAGCCTGGGTGACAGAGCAGACTCGCAAAGATTTCTATCATAGTTGTTGTGGGGAATACACGAGATAATAAAAGTGCCTAGCACCCAGCAGCTGGCACAGAGTTCTCTGTCAAGGGTAAAGCTATTCCTGACTATAAATGAACTGTGTCTCTAGACGTATTCATCTACATTATCTTTGATTTAGTTCATAACCATAGGTTCTCTGTGTCTTTCCTGAAAATGGAGAGGTGGCTCTCTTATGTCTATGTTTCAAAGAACTCCAGTCTCTAATTAGAAACAGGAGCTCCTGGAGTATAGAGCTATGGTAGCTTAGTGGAAGAGGTCAAACAAACTTGGGTTAAAAATGCAGGCTGCACGCCAGGTGCGGTGGCTCATGCCTGTAATACCAGCACTTTAGGAGGCTGAGGCAGGTGGATCACTTGAGGTCAGGAGTTTGAGACCAGCCTGGACAACATAGTGAAAACCTGTCTCCCGCCGGGCACAGTGGCTCAAGTCTGTAATTGAGCACTTTGGGAGGCCAAGGCGGGTGGATCACGAGGTCAAGAGATCAAGACCATCCTGGCCAACATAGTGAAATCCCATCTCTACTAAAAATACAAAAAAAATTAGCTGGGCGTGGTGACGTGCACCTGTAGTCCTTGAACCCGGGAGGCGGAGGTTGCAGTGAACCGAGATCGCCACTGCACTCCAGCCTGGTACCTGGTAACAGAGCGAGATTCTGTCTCAAAAAAAAAAAAAAAAAAGGGAAAACCTGTCTCTACTAAAACAAAAATTAGCTGGACATGGTGGTGTGCACCTGTAATCCCAGCTACTTGGGAGGCTGAGGCAGGAGAATTAACTTGAATCTGGGAGGTGGAGGTTGCAGTGAGCCAAGATCGTGCCACTGCACTCCAGCCTGGGGAACACAGCAAGAACCGTCTCAAAAATAAAAAATCCAGAGTCCAATACTAACCATCTAACTCTGACAGTTGGCAAGTTACCCACTCTGAACCCTAGTTCCTCATCTACAGAATGAGGATAGTAATACCTACTGCGCAGACAGAGCTGTTGAGAGGATAGGATATGCTAATACAGGTGAAAAGCCAAGTCGGTGAAAATAATCTTTTAGCTACTTGAAACCATAACCAAAATTTATTGACAACAAATGGAATTTAAGGTCTGCAGCTCTCCTCAGTGCTCAAATGTCTTATTTCAAACATATGGAGTCTTTGTGAGTTTCCACATTATTGGAAAAATCCCCATTGACTGTCTGCCAAAGAGAAGTTTAGGGATATTCAGTCATTCTGCTCTCTTTCAGGAAAGAAAAACAAAACCAGGTTGGCTCCGCCATATGTCCATGTGCATCTCCATGTACATTTCTGCTCATAGCTGCAGAATGCTCTGATGTCCCCGGTGTTTTCTGTCTAGCTCTGTTTCAAGGTGCCATGTTGGAGTGGCACATCAACAAGAAAAATTGGAAGAGGTTTGTAGGTAAAATCGCAACCAGTTTTCATTGCGGGACCTGTGCATTTATTTATTATTTATTTATAGATGGAGTCTTGCTCTGTCACACAGGCTGAAGTGCAGTGGTGCCATCTCAGTTCACTGCAAACTCTGCCTCCTGGGTTGAAGCAATTCTCCTGCCTCAGCCTTCCAAATAGCTGGGATTACAGGCATGACCACCACGTATGGCTAATTTTTGTACTTTTAGTAGAGACGGCATTTCACCATGTTGGCCAGGCTGGTCTCAAACTCCTAGCCTCAGGTGATCCGCCTGCATCGGCTTTGCAAAGTGCTGGGATTACAGGTGTGAGCCACCATGGCTGAAGAACCTATGTTTTTAGACTAGAAACCACATTTGAGAATGCGAAATGCCTGAGATCTGTTTTCTTTTTTTTTTTTTTTCACCATTGTCTATAATTTTTTTTTTCTATTTTCTATTTTTGATTTTATTTATTTATTTTGAGATGGAGTCTTCCTCTATCACCCAGGCTGGGTGCAGTGTCATGATCTTGGGTCACTGCAACCTCCACCTCCCACATTCAAGTAATTCTCCGGCCTCAGCCTCCCAAGTAGCTGGGACTACAGGTGCATGCCACCATGCCCAGCTAATTTTTGTATCTTTGGTAGAGACAGGATTTCACCATGTTGGCCAGGCTGGTCTTGAACTCCGAATCTCAAGTGATCCACCCACCTCTGCCTCCAAAAGTGCTCGGATTACAGCTGTAACCCACTGTGCCTGGCATGAGATCTATTTTTTTTTTTTTTTTTAGACAGAGTTTCGCTCTTGTTACCCAGGCTGGAGCGCAATGGCGCAATCTCGGCTCGCCGCAACCTCCGCCTCCTGGGTTCAGGCAATTCTCCTGCCTCAGCCTCCTGAGTAGCTGGGATTACAGGCACGCGCCACCATGCCCAGCTAATTTTTTGTATTTTTAGTAGAGACGGGGTTTCACCATATTGACCGGGATGGTCTCGATCTCTTGACCTTGTGATCCACCCACCTCGGCCTCCCAAAGTGCTGGGATTACAGGCTTGAGCCACCGCGCCCGGCCTGAGATCTATTTTTTAAAATGGAAATCGAGGCTTAGAGAATTTAAAATAACTATCTCACACAAATGGCAGAACCATGAATCCAAATCTCTCATTTCTTGCAAGGAAGACTAAGAATGCATCCCAGTCATCAAACTCTATTACACTGTCTCCATACCAAACCACTGGAAGTGTCTAACACCTCTCCTAAAAGCTTGCCCAGCATTCCAATGCATGCTTTCTTCTTTCTCTCTGCTGTGGTTGTGAAGAATGATGTTCACTCAATGAGGTGGGTCTGCAGGAGGGAGCTTCCTAATGTCAGATAGTGTGGTAATGTGAGGACTGTCAACCTATTTTCACTGGAATAGCACACCACTGACCTCTTCACTGATGCATCAGCAACAGAAGTGATGAATGCCGGTGAGATCTTCCTGTTAAGCACTTTACAGTTGATCAAGAACATGCACATCCATCTCCCTATTTTTCTTCCTTCCCACTTCTGAGAAGGTATGTTGAATAGGATTTATTGCCAATTACTAAGGTTCAGAGATTAAAAGTGAATTGTGCCGGGCGCAGTGGCTCAAGCCTGTAATCCCAGCACTTTGGGAGGCCGAGGCGGGTGGATCACGAGGTCAAGAGATCGAGACCATCCTGGTCAACTTGGTGAAACCCCGTCTCTACTAAAAAATTAAAAAAATCGGCCGGGCGCGGTGGCTCAAGCCTGTAATCTCAGCACTTTGGGAGGCCGAGGCGGGTGGATCACGAGGTCGAGAGATCAAGACCATCCCAGTCAACATGGTGAAACCCCGTCTCTACTAAAAATACAAAAAATTAGCTGGGCATGGTGGCGTGTGCCTGTAATCCCAGCTACTCAGGAGGCTGAGGCAGGAGAATTGCCTGAATCCAGGAGGCGGAGGTTGCGGTGAGCCAAGATCGCGCCATTGCACTCCAGCCTGGGTAACAAGAGCGAAACTCCGTCTCAAAAAAAAAAAAAAAAAAAAAAAAATTAAAAAAATTAGCTGGGCATGGTGGCGTGTGCCTGTAATCCCAGCTACTCAGGACGCTGAGGCAGGAGAATTGCCTGAACCCAGGAGGCGGAGGTTGCGGTGAGCCGAGATCGCGCCATTGCGCTCCAGCCTGGGTAACAAGAGGGAAACTCTGTCTCAGAAAAAAAAAAAAAAAAAAGTGAATTGTGGCTGGGCACAGTGGCTCACTCCTGTAATCCCAACACTTTGGGAGGCCAAGGTGGGGCCAATCACCTGATGTCAGGAGTTTGAGACCAGCCTGGCCAAAATGGTAAAACCCTGTCACTACTAAAAATACAAAAATTGGCCGGGTGCGGTGGCTCAAGCCTGTAATCCCAGCACTTTGGGAGGCCGAGGCGGGTGGATCACGAGGTCGAGAGATCAAGACCATCCTGGTCAACATGGTGAAACCCCGTCTCTACTAAAAACACAAAAAAGTAGCTGGGCATGGTGGCGCTTGCCTGTAATC